TTTACTTAAAAAAACTCCCAGAATTGCACAAAAGGCATTGCGCACACTCTTCCTATATCCATGTACACTGCTTTTTTCTCATAATTAGAAAAATTTCACGAAAATACATGACAATTTTCTCAATCTTTAAACCCGGTAAAAGAACATATATGAAATTACCTGATCGCAAAAAAGTATTTACCTTTCCCAAATATGAACATTTCCACGTATAAAATAAATAAAATATCCAAAAACTTTTACCTCTAAATCATCTATTACATTATACACGTCACCAACGAATTCATACCGCAACCATTACAAATACTTAGTGTCAGATATTTAAATTATTTCTATGCACGTTTACTTCAACTAAAACGTATACCAAATTCCTACAAACATAAAATTCACAAAATAATTATCATTTAATTAAAATATAATTAAATTCAAAAACACTACTTAAAATATAAATGAGCACATACATTAAATTAATACATACATAAATACCCATTTCGAATTTACTTTAGTTACGGCCATGGAATCCAAAAATTCACGAACACTGTTTCACACAACACAGAATAAAGCCAAATACAAAATTTCCAGATTTTTTCCCGATTTCCCCCCTTTTCCGATTAAAGAACCGTAATTCGTCCATTAATATCACATGACATATCCCATGATCTCTCATTTCCCTCACACAAAATAATGCGTAATCGGAACTGAGAACTGCTCACATTATTACCAAAGTTCCAGGTAGTAACCGTTATCGCCTCCAAAATGTCGCCAAACAACCAGTTACCATATTGTAAAGATCAACCTAAATGAGTAAGCGTTTAAATTCATAATTGCTAATAGTTAAATACATATTTTTTTCCTAACGCCGCAATAGATTAAATTGCGCGTGACATCGTCGTGGGCCGTATAGATGCAAAAACTCAACCTAAGTCCTGATATATGACATACCAGTTAAGAAAAATGCATGAAATGAAACCATAACTCAAAAATAAATTAATAGTAAGAAATGTATAGCTTCTGTTCCGCTCCCTAATTAAAAACTATCCAACAAGTACTTGTACCCTAACTGATGGGATCTGTATTTGGCAGAATGCCAAGAAAAATCCATTCATGCTGAAGGGGAAATACGTCAGAGTTCGTTATTGCGAGGCAGGTGGAGTCGTGTCCGCCTTTGAAAAAAATTGCAGAAAAGGCAGGGGTGGAAAGAGGATGGGTCCTGGAAGATTCATCGAATGGCAGAGGAGAGAGACTATTTAAACTGATGAGAATGTTGATTTGAAAGGGGGAGGAATTGTTTTATTGTTCTGAGATCTCGTTTAGGGTGAATAAGGCATGTAGGTCCGTTCAAGGGAAAGGACATTAAACAAAATAACGTTCGCAAAAAGCAACTGAGTGGTCTTTTGTGTGGGAACAGCACCAATCTATGCACAATGACAAGGCCATCCAAACTATGTACAATGACCATCATAGGAAATATTTTATTTTTAGTGCACCTAAACGCCACGTGTGTAGAAATGCCGCACCCGCTGAAAATTTAAGTTTTAAACACGTAAACGCCGTGGCGTTTCTTCCGGAAATTACGGTACTAAACAACTTTTGTTCAAAGCTTTAAATATTCCACATCTTTCGATTGCCACATGCAAGAAACAAAACTAAAAAATAAGTAAATAAAATTAAATGAAAACATTCATAATTTATAAACGTCATGTCATTAAAAATCCAACCTTCTTCCAACAGCTTAACCTTCTGCAAAATTTTATATAAATATAATATTAAACATATATATAACAATAATATTAAACAGTAAAACTTTTAAAAACTAACACAGTATTTCAAAATTAAATTTTTAAAAAAATCTTCTGGCTACACTAAATTCGTGCTCTTACAGTTACCAAAATAAAGCTCTAGGTTTGCCATAAGAAAACATACAGCCAGAAACCACAACCAAATCAAAATCGCACCAAATAAAAAAACTCTCGCCAAGTTTGGCGCTCATCCCGATTATGGAATTTTACCCAACTTACATTGAAAGAAATGTTTAATAAAGTAAACAAATAAATATTAAGCTTTCTTTTTTGTAAATTTTTATACCCTTTAGATCATAATTGTTCTTTATTTCATAAATTACGGTTCATATTTTTAATTTTAGAATTTCTGCATACCATCTTACGAGATTTAAACTGATGATCTATAATCCGGAAAAATCGATAATCCGGAATCGCCGAAGTCCCGACGAGTCCGGATTAACGACTTTTGACTGTATGTAATAAATAATTTTCTTAACAAAAAGCCATTGTTATTTTTCTCCTGTTAAATACACCAAACTGCATTAAGATGGTTGCACTTTTATGTAAATATCAAAATCTCTATCAAGCATGCATTAAGCTTTGAAATTATGCTGAAACTAAATACTTATTCTTAAGAAGCTCCTAGCTTAAAAAAAAAAAGTAACTCATAAAAGTGGTGTTTTTTTTTTTTTTTTTTTTAAAGCTTCCCTTTTAAAGGCTACTGTCTTGGTGAATACAGGTCAACAGGCAAAAAACAAAAACATACTTACACTTTCAAGAAGAGTACTGTCTTCTAGGCATCTTCGAGATAAAATATGGAAAGGATACAAAGTTAGATTAAATAATGATAAATTCATGATGAGCTATAAACACCACTGTAAAAACAATGAGTTTTAGCTATTTATCATTAATATATCTTTCAGTTAATTACTCCTTAGTGTTATTAAATTATTATTTGTTCATTTGTTTTATATTTTCAGCTACAGTAATTTTAGTTATGATTATTTTTTAATTGGTTTTTTAAATCCTCAATATCAAGTGACTGGACCGCAGGCACAACCTTTAGAAATTTCCAATGGCAATATCCACACACGTAGATAACAGTTATATGCCTTATGTTGAAATTGCATTAGTTTTAATGTTGCCGATATCTTAAACAGCTAAAAGTACTGAAAACAGGATAAAAAAAATAAAAAAAAATCACAAATGAATGATATTTTTTACAAATATGCTCTTAAGATCCCTAAAATTAGGCAAAACAATTATTAAATGAAGCAGTGAATCAGAAAAATTGCAACCAATTTTATTTTCCACTTATTCAATGCTAACAAGTTTCTGCATTTACTCAAAGCAGAAAAAGGATATAATTAAGATTTCTTTTAAAAACACATTAAAAATAATTACAAATAGGTAAAGTGCAGAATCACCCACTTATTGGTGCTTTTTACAAGAGTAAGAAGAATTCAATTTTTGTCAATTTTCTTTGCCTTTTTAAGTGAAAATAGGTCGATGTGTACATGTGTCAAGGGAGTGTGCAATGCCATTTTTGTGCAATTCTGGGATTTTTTTTAAGTGAAAATAAGTTGATGTGTACATGGATACCAAGTATGTGCAATTTTTAAAAATGTTCTAAGCAGTGGGTGATTCTGAACTTCCCTCAAATTATATATTTATAAAAGAACGTAAAAATTTTTTTGTCAATTTTTAATTTTAGGGCATTCGATAAAAATAAAATCATACATAAATAAAAATTCCTGAATGTAAGCTGAACAGTTCTATGTGAAGCTGCTACAGTGAACTATGTGACTACAGAACAGAACTAAACTACAGACTACAGAACTATGTGAAGCTGCTACAGTTCTTTTGTTATTTTTTTCCACTCCAAAATGTTAGAAATGTTTCCCTCTATAACTATGGTATATTTAAAAAAAGTTGGCCGAAAGTTCACATAAAGATATATTATAACCATTGTAACAAGATACGTTTTCCGGTAAAGTACTAAGCCCACGTTAAAACTTTTCTTCGTAAAAATTTCAATTCTTTCGAAAATGATTGTAAATTTGTAATTATTCTTTAAAATGCTACGTGAAGATGTATAACATGAATGTGAAATGTAATTAATATAGGAATAATTACAGTTTGACGATCGGTGCATAAATTTTATGACAAAAAAGAAGTTACTTATCTATTCTACTTATTTCTGAGATTATAGAAAATAATACAAATCAGTTTCTTAAAATAATTAAATACTAAATTTCATGCAAGATTTGCGTAGAAACTGCTATAGAGCTAAGCTTTCATATATTTTCGGATTATTATAAGAAAACTGATAAGAATCATAACGATCATACAAAATATAATTTATAAATGTAAGGTATATGTGATGAATAGAGAATTGGTATCAATATTTCTGAAATTTTTATGTGTTTGATTGTTATAATATTATGAAAGAACTGCTAAGAATAGCACGTATTCTCACATTCTGAACATTTCTGCTACCATGCATATCTTCATTAAGATAACACAAATCCTTTCTCTTTTATTGACAAGGCATTATTTTCGTTAAAAAGAAAAAATACACCTACAAGACGGTGTAAAACATATTGCCAGATTTAAAAACAGTGAATGTGACTGAAAATGCATTCATAGGGATGTTTTACATTTTGCAAAGGAATTTAATATTTTTAATCAATTGAACTCTAAAATTTATTCAGTTCCTTTCAATCAATTTCGCAGAAAGTTTATTTTAAAAATGTCACTGCAACGGTTTTTCTTTTTCTTTTTTTTTTTCTTTTTTTTTGTGACAAATTTTTTTTAAGTTAGAAAGAAATGGCATCAACATTTGGTTTGTTTTGTAATAGAAATATTTGTCGCTATCGCAGTTATGTAGATTGTAGTGTTTTGTAATCTGACAATTGAGAAATTAAGGCGTGGTTATATTATTTGGTGCCAAATATCATGTTAGAGATGCATGCATTTTATTGTGATTTAAACTCCATTAGCGTGCATTGTTTGAGCTATTTCTTAAGGAAATATTTAGCATATATTGATTAGTAGTCGATACCACTTAGATCTAAGAACGTTTTACTGTAATTCTCTTCTGGATCAGCATGTAACAATTTAGAAATGATAAAAGCGAAACGTAGTGGCTCAGTTCGTTCCGTTTCTGAGGGTGATTTAGCAGATGTTGAGCAAGAGGAGAATTCTGTTTTGGAATTAAATGAGAAACTTTCCACAGATATCAATAAACAAGCTCTGTTTACTTTACCTCGTTGGATAAGTGGACGTAAGAAAAACAAAAATAGGATAAAGTATATTAAAGTAGATGTTCCATTTGTTCCAGAAAATGTACGTAGAAATGAAAAGATTTCAACTTTTTCTGAAAGTACAGCAGATTGCAAAAGTATCGAGAAATCTGCCAATATTTTTCGCAAACTGTTCCGAAGCAATTCGTTTTTTTCTGTTTCTTCTAAAAAATCTGTTGCTAAATCCTCTTCCAAAGTTCCAATTCCTCTTACATTATCGACATCAAACACTGATATTCGGAATAGCAATGGAATTGCTTTTCATGGCTTCGATTCTCAAGCTTATTTTAAAGACCGTATTCCTGCAGTGTGTGGCATTAAAAATCACGGAAACACTTGCTTTATGAATGCAGTTATACAGTGCTTAAGTAATACAGATGGTTTCGCAGAGTATTTTGTTATGGATCATTATAAAATGGACTTCATGCGAAGGAATAAAACACATTCCAAAAAATATGGTACGCGTGGTGAAGTAACTGAACAGTTAAGCTTTTTGCTTAAGTCTTTATGGTCATGTCAGTATTATCCAAATATTTCCAGCAGATTGAAAAATTTAATATCTAAGTATGGAGCTCAGTATGAAGGAAATAACCAGCATGATGCTCAGGAGTTTTTGTTGTGGTTATTAGATAAGGTGCATGAAGATTTAAATACAGCTCCAAAGCAGAAATACAAAAGACCAAAGGTAAATAATTTGGATTAGTGATATATCTGTTATTAACACAATTCTTCATTTCATTGTGAATATTCTAGGAGAGGCAACAAACTGGGAAGGTGCAGAATCACCCACTGCTTCGTGCATTTTTCAAAATCGCCAACTTGAAAATAACGAGTAACAAAATTGCACAAACTCGGTATCCATGTACACTTCGACCTATTTTCACTTAAAAAACATCCCAGAATTGCACAAACTTGGCATTGCACAGTCCCTTGACTTTGTCCATGTACACATCGATATGTGCCATATAAGTGGGCGCGCCAAGTGTGGGCTCTGCTAGGATCCAAACATATTTGGTCCTTTTTCGTTTGGCATGCACTTGTGAAAAAGGATCTTGGGTACTTTTCCCTTTTGTTGGCGCAAGCGATAAATCACCAGTAATGTTACAACCGATGCCAAACGAAATATCCTCGCTGGTAACCTTTAACTTTTACATTTGTAAAACAAGTCACAGCCATTTCTTATCAGATTGATCGTTTCTTTCAATACTGGCATACAATTACATAGAATTTTTACCAGATAGTTCAATTTTATGCCCTAAGGCCATTCGCAGGCGGTAATTAAGTCAATTAGGATGCAATCACACCACTCACCCGATGGCGAAAATATAGATAAGGGTTAAATTCATCCATTCTAATGAGAATGCACTAGCGAAGTAAAGCACTGAGGTTTTACATAATTTCTGATTAAGCTATTCATACGAATTGAAATTGTATTCCAAATTAAGATTTAACCTGAAATTAATGTAGATAATTACTCAGAGAATTAAATTTTTTTAGATTAGTTTACGTGAGGTCACGTGATATGAACCGAGGATGTTGTACGATGAAAGCATTGTAAATTCGGTTGATCTTTACATTACGGTAACTTGGCGATTTTTTGGCGAAAATTTGGCGACCAACTCCCCTACAGCAACCCTCTATTTTTTTTTCCCCGCCGCCATTTTGTCTTCACGAAGTAAAGACGTTTCTTTTCTTCTTATCTACTAAACACTTCTTCCAACAATCTACTAGCCGAATTACACTTATGCTAGAAATTTTATCAAACAAAACTGCTTAATCATGACAAATATTCACTGCAAAATTCGGAAAAAGTGCACAATACCATACACCTTACGCGTTTTTTTCAAATAACACATACACATAAACCATGTACACGCCGACTTATTTTTACTTAAAAAAACATCCCAGAATTGCACAAAAATGGCATTGCGCACACTCTTCACTATATCCATGTACACTGCTTTTTTCTCATAAATTCGAAAAATTTCACGGAAAAATACATGACAATTTTCTCAATCTTTAAACCCGGTAAAAAAAGAACATATATGAAATTACCTGATCGCGAAAAAGTATTTACCCTTTACAAATATGAACATTTCCACGTATAAAATAAATAAAATATCCAAAACTTTTACCTCTAAATCATCTATTACATTGTACACGTCACCAACGAATTCATACTGAAGCATTACAAATATTTAGTATCAAATATTTAAATTATTTCCATGCACGTTTATTTCAACTTAAACGTAAACCAAATTCCTACAAGCATAAAATTCACAAAATAACTATCATTTCATTAAAATATCACTGAACCATGTACACGTCGACTTATTTTTACTTAAAAAAACATCCCAGAATTGCACAAAAATGGCATTGCGCACACTCTTCACTATATCCATATACACTGCTTTTATCTCATAAATTAAAAAAAATTTCACGAAAATACATGACAATTTTCTCAATCTTTAAACCCGGTAAAAAGAACATATATGAAATTACATGATCGTGAAAAAGTATTTACCCTTTACAAATATGAACATTTCCACATATAAAATAAATAAAATATCCAAAAACTTTTACCTCTAAATCATCTATTACATTATACACGTCACCAACGAATTCATACATGAAGCATTACAAATATTTATTATCAAATATTTAAATTATTTCCATGCACATTTATTTCAACTTAAACATACACCAAATTCCTACAAGTATAAAATTCACAAAATAACTATCATTTCATTAAAATATAATTAAATAATCAAAAACACCACTTAAAATATACATGAGCACATACATTCAATTATAAAAATTACCTTACAATCCTAATTACTTTAAACTAAATCATTGCTAATAACAATTTTCCCAATAATACCAAATTCCTTTCCACCTTACATTTCCAACAATGCATAAAAATAATTAAAAATACTAACTTACCTAATCTCCTTCAGAATCTTCATTACGTGGCGGATACACTTTCTTCATTCTCTTTCAGAATCTTTAAAATCATACTTATCTTTCAAAGCAAGATACCAGGTAAAATAAATAACATAATAAAACATGTTTATTTCTCTCACACAACCTTAAAAAACATTTCTTACTATCCTTTTCAATACCACTAAATACCCATTTCGAATTCAATTTACTTACGGCCATGGGATCCAAAAATTCACAAACACTATTTCACACAACACAAACAGAATAAAGCAAATACAAAATTTCCAGATTTTTTTCCCGATTTCCCCCCTTTTCCGATTAAAGAACCGTAATTCGTCCATTAATATCACATGGCATATCCCATGATCTCTCATTTCCCCCACACAAAATAATGCGTAATCGGAACTCAGTACTGCTCACATTATTACCAAAGTCCCAGGTAGTAACCTTTATCGCCTCCAAAATGTCGCCAAACTACCAGTTACCGTAATGTAAAGATCAACCGTAAATTCTTAAATTAATGTCTTTTTACAAATTTACTGTCTTTAATCATTGGCTTTTTTACGAAATTTTAACCGACATTAAAATGTTTATGCCTTCAAAATAAAAAATTCTTACATCTAACATTTGTCAACATTTTTTATGTGTATACCATGTGTTTTCGCCAATAAAGTTTTTTTGGTGAGATTTGCGCCGGTGAAACGGAAAAGTACTGGATCTTGTAAACATATTGAGAAATCCAATAATAGCACCTTTTGCACTATGTGTGTGTGTGTAAATCAGAACAATTAAACACACACACACACACATTACAATAGTAACTGTTGAAATGCATGGCAGGTGCATAACGGAAAAGTACCTGTAATTTATACTTGTATAAAAATATTTAGAAGCTTTTCATCTTGTATTTTTAGATATATAAAACGGAACAGCTTTAGTATTGGTCCTTTTGGCAATTTTTTGATTTGGCGACAAACTTCCGTCGCCAATGTATACCCGGCTTTGAAGATCGGAAAAAAATGGCTAATTGTCAACAAAACCCGATCTAGGCTAAATAACAATCCTAACAAATAAGCTCTTGATCAGAATAAAGTCTTTGATCAACCGAAGTTTTTTGTTTGTAAACCAAACCGTGTTTTGCCTTTCGAGGCTACATTACTAGGTTGCTAGATAAGATAAGATTTGTAGTCTTCAGTCTGCATGTAATGCTGATATTGAATCCATGCAGTTAATTTTAACCATTTTTGCATTAATATTATTGAGTCTAAATTTTCTTGCTACCGTTTCGCAAAACGCCGCCGTTTCTGTTAAAGTAAATTTTTTTTTTAATAAAATAAAACCGTATTTCCAGAAGAAAGGCCGCATCAGCGTAAACGCCGCACTCGAGAAAAATGGCGGGAAAAAAATTAAAATTACACAGAAACGCCGCATCAGCGTAAACGCCGCAATAGATTAAATTGCGCGTGACATCGTCGTGGGCCGTATAGATGCAAAAACTCAACCTAAGTCCTGATATATGACATACCAGTTAAGAAAAATGCATGAAATGAAACCATAACTCAAAAATAAATTAAAGGTAAGAAATGTATAGCTTCTGTGCCGTTTAGAGACATTTTCAAAAATTTTCCGCTCCCTAATTAAAAACTATCCAACAAGTACTTGTACCCTAACTGATGGGATCTGTATTTGGCAGAATGCCAAGAAAAATCCATTCATGCTGAAGGGGAAATACGTCAGAGTTCGTTATTGCGAGGCAGGTGGAGTCGTGTCCGCCTTTGAAAAAAATTGCAGAAAAGGCAGGGGTGGAAAGAGGATGGGTCCTGGAAGATTCATCGAATGGCAGAGGAGAGAGACTATTCAAACTGATGAGAATGTTGATTTGAAAGGGGAAGAATGTTATTGTTCTGAGATCTCGTTTAGGGTGAATAAGGCATGTAGGTCCGTTCAAGGAAAAGAATGTAAACAAAATAACGTTCGCAAAAAGCAACTGAGTGGTCTTTTGTGTGGGAACAGCACCAATCTATGCACAGTGACAAGGCCATCCAAACTATGTACAATGACCATCATAGGAAATATTTTATTTTTAGTGCACCTAAACGCCGCATGGGTAGAAAACCGCACCCGCTGAAAATTTAAGTTTTAAACACGTAAACGCCGCGGCGTTTCTTCCGGAAATTACGTATGAGATGGAAACACGTCATGTGATAGCGTGTGACAAAAGACAACCACTAGTTTATTCCCCTTGAAGACTAGCATTCACCCTAAAAATCTCAGAACAATAACATTCTTCCCCCTTTCAAATCAACATTCTCATCAGTTTGAATAGTCTCTCTCCTCTGCTATTCGATGAATCTTCCAGGACCCATCCTCTTTCCACCCCTGCCTTTTCTGCAATTTTTTTCAAAGGCGGACACGACTCCACCTGCCTCGCAATAACAAAGTCTGACATATTTCCCCTTCAGCATGAATGGATTTTTCTTGGCATTCTGCCAGATACAGATCCCATCAGTTTGGGTACAAGTACTTCTTGGATAGTTTTTAAGTAAGAAGGGAGCGGAAAATTTTTGAAAATGTCCCTAAACGGCACAGAAGCTATACTGCTGGCTTTAAGCTCAATGTAATTTCATGTGCTGAACAAACTGGAAATCGAGCAGCAGCTCGAAAGTTTGAAGTGGACGACAGATGTATTCGACGTTGGAGAACTGAAGAAGAACTTCTTAAAAATATTGCCACAACAGAAAC